AGGTCGTCTCTTCACTGCTCTGAAAGATCAGAAAAAGTAGGACTAAGCTACTCCTGGTGTTTTCGTCTGGCTCAGATAAAATTTTCGAGCGGTGCCTATGACAAATTAATTTAGATCAAACTTTTTAACATTATTTAAGACATTTCTCAAAAGTTCGTTTGGTTTTTTATTGATTTTTCAATATATCACTTTGAGTACATTTGTCCGATTTAAGTAAAATGTGCGCCGTTTTGTTTATAAACTTGTTGCCAACGAGATGCCAACTTCATATATATATATATACTCCTTTCGTAGAAGGCTGCGTCCCTATTGACAAAAAGCTAGGAGAGCCAATTTTCACAGGCCTCTCATAAGGCCAAACTCTCACCATTAAGTGCGTTCGTCATGGACATGAAAAGATAGTAATCCCTTGGTGAGAATGAAATACTGAAAATGAAATAAGTATAGTCCAACTAATACAAGCGCAACAGAGTAATAATGAGATATTAGCTTGCTCACCGCAAGCGGCGATAGATAAAAAAGCAGGTTGAGAAGAAAATTGAAAAATAAAATGACAGCTTTAAACAGCGAATCTCCAGATAATTAAGGTATAAATGTTCAACTAAGTCAAAATCCAAGGAAAATCGTTTGGAATGTGTGGATGAACTGAAATTATTTCAATCGTGTGTGAATCTTTCAGTTTGCAATACTACTTTCTTGTGTTCTTATATCTCACAATTGGAATTCTTGAATACCAAAATTAAAGCAAATCAGTAAAAAAATAAATAAATAGAATCAGCTGGTGCTACTTTGGATGCTAGGAATTAATATTTTGAAATTATTGCTGTCTCGTTTTTTTGCTTGGTTAAGGTAAATATATATATATATATATATATATCAAAAAATCTGATCTACTATCAGGTATATGCTGTCACACCACATAAGAAAGTGATATTTAAAAAATTAAAATTTTAAATTTTAGCTTTATTTACTATAATTAAAAGTTTATGTTAAATATGCACGGTTTTGCTAGATAATTTTTTGATATTTTGAAAATCATATCTCTATTAGCAAAATATGGGGGTTATCGGTTTCTATAGGCTCCTTCTAAAGCCAATTATTTGCTTGCTCCAAAGGAAACCGTCGATTTTTCATACAGACGGTGTTAAAGCGCTGCGTAAATTCTTGCATAAATTTGGGCGCTGATTAATTGTTTCCTGTAACGTGAGTATGTAATTCTCAAATGATTAGCCAAGTGATACGGCTAAAGTGTTCTTTGTTTGCAATGGAATTTACCTCCATAATGTGCAGATCAGGTATCTTGTTATCTTGCTATCTAGGTTTGTATCTCGCATCCATATTCCCTGAGTAAGCGCTTGCCGTCTGCGTAGCGTCCGGTGTCTGCTGTGGCATTGGAAAAAGGTTATTTTTTGGCGTAGTGCTCAACTTGAATACATTCCAACGTTTGGTTACTTTTAGCTAGCTTTTGAAATAATACCTCAAATTTTTGATCATATTTGTATGCTTGATGTCAATTTTAATATTGAGTCCATTAAATAACATTTTCGCCTTATTTTACTTTATTATTTCATTGAAAGGAAAAAAAGCAGCGCCGGCAGCCAAAACGTTGCATAATCTGCATGGTGAAAAGGCCTTAAAAGAAACACAGTGACGAAGTCGGTTTGTCAAATTTCGTTTTGGGATATTTTTCGCCCAAAGATAAGCCACTTTCAAGTCGGCCAAGAGAAATTGATGATGATAATAGCAAGGCTTTAATCGAATCGGATCATCCTGTAACTGAGCTTGAGATTGGAGAGAAGTTAAGTATACTAAAATCAACCGTTTATAATCATATGCGATATCTGGGACTGGGAAAATAACCTTGATTTTTGGGTACCACACGAGTTGAAAGAAATTCATTTAACAAGCCTTTTCAATGCTTGTGATGTGCATCTTAAACGCAATGAATATGGTCCGTTTTTGAAGAAAATCTTAACTGTAGATCAAAAATGGCTTGTTTACAATAATTTCAATCGAAAACGATCATGGTCTAAGCATGATGAACCACCAGAAACTACTACAGAGGTTGATATTTACCAAAAGATGGTTGTGCTGTCAGTTAGGTGGGAAGGGTGTGGTATATTTAGAGCTACTAGCAAGGAACCAAACGATTAATTCAAATGTCTACTGCTAACATCTGGACAAATTAAGTATATATATAAACGAGAAGTGACCAGAAAAGGTGTCACATTCCACCAAGCTAATGCTAGATCAGACATATCTTTGGTCACTGCTGGTGCATTCACCATATTGCCTTGACCTCGCTTTTGCAGAACTAATTAAATGGCAAAAATTTTCGAAAATTACGAGGCTGTTAATTCGACCTGGGTTCAGGTTTTTGCTCATTAAGGTCAGAAGCGTGGAATAATGATGTCGCCGGAAAGATGGCGAAAGGTCATCCAACAAGATGGAAATTACATAATTGATTAAAGTTCATTATGACATTTAAAATAAAATAAATTTATATTATTTAAAAAAATTTTCGTTTCCCTTGGGGCAACCCAATATTATCCAGCCAAATGAATCGTCATAGACAGGAACGGATGATAATCACTTGTCGCAAGGTTCGAACTATAAGGTTAGGGGAGCTTTTGGCCACGCATTATCGATATATATGATCTGGCGTTGTCCTGATTAAGTAAAATTGCCCTGCTGTTAGTTTTGAGTCATTGTTTCATTCAGACTTTCCAATTGCTGATAGTTCAGATCAAAATTGAGAGTTTGGTCGTAGAAGAGCTGCCCTTAGTGTATGATTCCTTGGCGATGCCACCAAACACACATCAAAGCTTTCTTGGCCACAAATCCTGGTTTGGAGCCCGTTTGTGCCTGCGCACTGTCCTGCGACCATTACCGTTTTCGTTTGATGTTGCTGTAAGTAGACCAACTTTTTAGCATCAGTCATCATCCGTTTTAAATTTTGTTACTACTCAGCAGCAATGATTTTGAGATTTTTACTTGTTAACTCGTGTAAATCGTATACAGTGAGCTTCTTTGTATTGCAAGTCGTTTTCAAGTGCTTTCAAACTATTTTTGAAATTGAAATTTTGATCCTGAGCTATCAAAATGACGATCAGACACGACGATTTCCATTTCTTCATCGGCATTTTCGGCAACTGATTTTCCCCACATCAAAATTACCGGAACGATATCGATGTAACCAAAATTGTGCACATTCGACAATCTCAGTATCTATATATCAAAGCAGGTTTTTCTCGTCGATTTTGCCACCGGGAGGTTCAGCGTCAAATACTTTAAAGGATATAATAATTTTATTTATTCGGGCAGTACGACTATGAGAATCTCTCTCATGAGAATACTGTCAATGTAGTTAATGGGCATGGGCTTCTGTTTCTGAAGTTTCCTGTTTAAAGATTCCACTTAACATGTACCCATCCTTATGAATTGTGCTCAGATAATGATATATATTCTACCACAACTTTGTTGTTCATCCAGCAAGCGAAATCTGTTAGGACTTAAACATAGTCGGGTAGGGGGACGTTTGGGGTCTTCACGTTCCATAAGCACAGCATAGTACGGCATATCTTCATTCACGGCTGCACGTAGATAAATTCCGTCCCTTATACTGAGTTGTTGATGATTGATTCTATCGGAGTAGGAGTCTAGTGAAGAGGAAAATGGGCGTGAAGTCTTTTGACTTTTTTTTACAGACTTTTCACGTCAAACTCTAGCACTACTTGGAAGTAACTGCATGTCAAGCTTAAGGTGTGAGAGAGATTCTAGCCCATTTTTGGATCTCAGAATGTACACAAACATACAAAACTCTATACATATCTTCCATCCATCATAACAAGGTCGATTTGATTACAAGTTCTTTGATGTGGGATCAGTCTTGTAAATAAATGATAATGGTTACTAAACAAGCACAACGAAATCGATTCGTTTTGGTCTCTTTGGCAAAAAAAAAAACTTAATTTATTATTTGTTACAATATAATGTTCTGCGAAGCATTCTCCTTTCTTCGACATCTTCAACAAATACAATAATAAATTTGCGTTTCTTTAACTGACCGCAGTATTATAAGTCACAAGGAGCTACACCCTTTCATCCCTGTTCTGTCCATTCGATTTCTTCCGCCCATGTACGAACTCTTTTAAATATCACCGAGCACATCAGCTAGGCAACATCTTTCTAGTTATGGGAACGGACTTTCCAGCTGCAGACTCTCAAATCAGAAATCTTTAAACGTCGTTAACATTTTCCTTAGAGCGGCTTCTTAAACCCGCGGAGGCGGAATTAAATAACACATTTACAACTAAAAATAGGTTCGCTGGTAGTACGACTGCAGCGAGCGCTTAAATCGAACTGCGGCTTTACTAAAACGCCCTCTCCTCTATATATATATAATTATAAAAACTAAAGGATTTTTTTTTCTACCAATATGTTATTATCTTCAACAACATTCCCTTTTTTCCCGTTTAATGTACAGAAAACATAACTGCTTCAATAGAAATTTATTGGTAAAATATCCCGTGTCCCTTCTATACCCTTTCGTTTGTCTTTCCCAAATGTAACCTTCATTCCTTATTATCTCCATTATCCATATTATATCCATTGCACTGGAAAAACATATCGCTCGTGTACCAAATTGAATTGAAATACCTTCAAACTATACGTTTAGCTCGAGCTTATAAATAAACGTACAACTAAATGTTGAGCAAACACATGTGCATACATATATACGTTATATTTTCCCCCTAAAGCAGCTGGCTTATCCTTGTCTCGTTTATCTTTTAACCCAAGTCATGTACGATTGATGATATGAAATAAATACTTCATTGATTTGTATAGATGCACACACATATATATATATATATATCACATAATATATATATCTATCTCGTTTACTCTTTATACTACATACTTATTACTTAGTAAACTCACATACATCTCTACATACAAGGTAAACGGTAATAATATCCATATATAATATATGCACTCACCTGAAACTACGCTCCGAAATGTCTTGCAATTCGTTATCGATCAATTTCAATGTCTTCAATCTGAGTCCCTGAAATGTTTCATCGTCAACACTTTGCAGATGTGTGCGTGACATTTCAATGTAACGCACGGAACTGTGTATGAATTCTGAAAATACAACAAAAAAAGGGGCAAAATTGAAAATAAAATAAATAATGTTTAATGGAGCATGTAAGCGTAGGAATTCCATGAGAAAGCGTTTGTGATTTATTATTTTATTTTGGTGTTGTTGATGGAATTACTTGGACAAATATAATTGAATTGAGAATTGAGTAAAGCAGATTGACAGATATTAAGTGCTGAGCGGAGATTTGAGCTATTTTTGTTTTAATTGGTTTTCTTGAATAAAGAAATCTACTTAAATTGATATGGAAAATTCTGAGAAATGTAGTCAACGGAAATAGTCTTAATGTTTACAGAAATATTAAAATTAGACTGCGCATATGGAGCATATTTTTTAATACAATACTGACGTTATGACTTAAGTAAATTATTTAATAAAAATCCTTTTTAATAATTTTCTTAAGGTCGTTTTGAGAAAAAAATACCGAAGCCATTGGTGTTGGGCCTCACTTGATAGCATCAACAATTTATCGTATCAAGCGAGCATATCACATCACATCATGGCTCCAGCATCAACAGATCAGCATATCACCGTAACGACAATGTAGTGTACCTATAGAATTCAGCAGCACCATGAGAAGTGCATACATACGAGGGGATTAACAAAATTTCGGTCAGTTGGTGACTTTCACTTGGTTTTTGTGCAATCTAAAAATACCGAATCCTTTTCAACTAATTTATTTTTCTTCTTTTCAAATTTTATAACGAATTTCCACCACCAACGTAAACAGAAATTTGCCATATGTTTCCCTACGGAGTTCAACGTAATTTACGGTCAATACAAAAATTCAAATAACTGCCAAATTGCATATGGAACCATTGCTCCGTCGTTAAATACTATTTCTAAGTGGTTCCGAAGATTCTAGACCGGACATTTTCCGTAGAGAACGAGCCCCGAGAATGTCGACTAAAATCGTCCTGGTAAAGTCAAGCCCTACGATCAGCAAGAATAGGCAAGAGTGCCTTTTGCTCAATTTTTCCTAAACTAATTCAAAAATGGTCAGTCTAGGAACTTAAATAAAGTCATTACTGGCGATGAATTTTGGTTCTTTAAGTACGATCCAGCAGCCAAACAACACTCCATGGTGTGTAATCCAACAGGAGCAAACTCACCCGTAAAATCTAAGCAATCAAAATAAGCAGCAAAAGTAATGATGTCATCCAATCTAAAATCATAGCTGCTATTCCCCTAAAAAGTGGTCAGCTCACAGAGAGAGAGTTTGCCGCGCTACTTTTTACTTAATTCAACGCGCCATCTCACCCTGTTGAAATAAATAATAATTTTATTGCGATCTCTGAGATCGGAGAAATACGTCCAACATCAACTTTTCCGGATAAAAAAAATTAAAAGCAAACTAGAACTAGTCCTCTCCTACTTACTTGCAAGTGAGGCACTAAGAGGGAGTGAGTTACCACTGTGCCGTGGAAAGGTCAGAGCGAAATGCTAAGCCTCTCTAAAAAAAAACTTCAGATATTTAGACATGGTTAGGTACTACTCATCACCTTTACGAATGTGGTATAAAATTATTTGGACGTGGTAAGGATCTGCCCTCCCACTGAAAAAGAGTATGCGAGGGCATAATCTTCTACATTTCTTCCCCTATGAAGGCATGTATTTATTACGAGCTCCAAGTTTATTCTCTTTTTGTGAAAAATTCCGGAAATGGCCGAGTGAAACTCTGCTCAAACCAGGAGTTCATAATAAGCGGTGGTCAATTCCTAGCACAGCGTTCTCATCGCACAGCCTAGAAGAATGAACAAACATTTTGGCAAGATGCGGTTAGAAACCTTTGCGTAACCTCGTACTATGACCAAAATATAGGGAATTTTGACGGAGACACTTCAACTTATCTGCTTTAAGGATTCACTATATTCTATTTGCGGCGACTGTTCACCAGGATGCATATGTGGGACTTGTAGTAAGCAGTTTGCTACAGCTCTCTTGTGAAATAGCAAGGACCCTTTGAAGAGGCACCCCATATTTAATGGTGACCAATTTTAACTATTTAACTACCAAGAACTAAGATCAATAGCTGGAATGTCGTAATTGGAAAGCTTCTGTTGTCCAAATAGTCGATTTTGTCAGTATAGTTAATAATATCCAAGAGATGAAATAGTTGTTCGTAGGATTTGTCCAAGTAAAGAAGCTCCTTCGAAGAGTAGCATAGCTCTCACATATTCTCTGTATTCTCCAAATATGTTTGGTCTGATAATGCATAAAAACAAGACTATTGATAGCCATTATTTTACAACCTCAGACATTTTCGTCTATCTTGGAACAAACATTAAGACCAACAACAATGTTCACCTTGATATTTATCGCAGACTCAGACTTGTTAACCGGAGCGCCTTTGAACTGAGCAGGTAATTAAAACGTAGAGTTCCACTACACTCTATATGTCCCTTATCTTTCTCGTCTTTCTAAATGGAGCAGAGGCCTGAATATGTCGGCGATTGGACGAGAGAAATGCTTTGGGTAAAATGTATAATCCTTAGCACATTAAAAACGGCACCACAGAAAATAGAATGATAAGCTGAATGAGAGGTATAAAACGGCGACCTTGAAATACTTCAGCAAATCGAGTGATATTGGCTGCGCTGGCTAGGTCGGTGTTCAGGAAGCAGAGGAAGTGAGTTATCGCCGATGCATTGGATTCGTTTTTAATCGCGTTAGCGCTGCCTATGCTAAATAGGAAGATGGCGATCTTCATAGAAAATTTAATCAAGTTGTAGGCTTACTAAACCTTCTTTTACTATATAATTGAGGTGTTTGTTATTTTATTCTAAATACTCAAATACAAGGTGCGTTCCGAAGTTAACCGGACCGAGCGGGCGCTAGAATCTGCTATCCTTTACCGACTTCCAGTAATCAAATATATATAAATAATAAAGTAATGACATTTCATCTATTGGAAGTGAAGTTATGGTGATTTAAGTGTCAGTATGTTTTTGTCTTCGGTGCGAAAACGAACTTTGAACAAAGAGCCAACATAATTTTTTTTTTTTTTAATTGATAAACTTTTACCGAAACATTTCAATTGATAAAACAAGTTTAAGATGATTATTGCCTATCCCGTAGCAGAGCCCACGAGTGGTTTTAATGTTTTCAAAGTGGTCGTGGGGACACAAATGATGATGAAAATGTGGGCCAACCAAAATCCGTGATCCTTGAAGATTCCAATGAAACTGTGCGTGAATTCATGAAAAATCATCCGAAATCATCATAGATATTCAAGGGAATTTAATTGAACATCTCCAAAACATCGTTTTCATCGCATTTTGACCGAACATTTGGGCTTAAAAAAGGTGTGTGCACGGTTTGTTCCCTACAAATTGACTGACGACCGAAAATTGCTCAGAAACCAATATTCGAAGGACATCATTAAAGAGACAAGAAAAGACCCGAGCTCACATTTTAACAATATACCACTTCCGGTATTCACCTGATATGGCATCGTGCGTCTTCTACCTTTTCGGAAAAATGCATTGGCCGACGAAAGGAAAGCGTTATACAGACGTAGAGGCCATTTAAAAGGTTCTCACCGGCATAATGGCGGCCATACCGGGCAACGAGCTAAGCCACTCGTTCGACATGCTTTTGGACCGTGCAAAAAGCTATATTAAAGCAGCAGGAGACTATTTAGAAAAAAACTAGTTAGTTTTGCCGATAAAACCATTTACTCTGACTTTTTTGAAGTCCTGTTTACTTTGGAACGCACCTTGTATATTGCAATCGCAACACTTTATATATATTCCATTGTAAAGAGAATGTGTTTTATTCCTTCTATTCTCAAAGTTTGCGATTAAAAATATTTCCAAAATTTCATTCTTATTTTTTCTTCATTTTTATTTTACAATTTAGCTTTCGCTCTACTTTCCTTAAGCATTTCCCCGACCATCAAAAGCTGAAGATTTTTTTTATCTCCTTAAACAATTTTTTTCCAATCATCTTTTCGCCCCAGCAAATTGTATTCCGGGTCACAAGAGATCCAAGTTTCGGCCAAAGTTCAAATTGTTTGTCATTTGTTGGTTTGAGTTAGCCAAATGGCAAAAGCACTTATACATACACATTGGCACATGAACAGAAGTGCAGGCAACTCTATAGATTTTCAAGTGTTGGTGACAATGTAACAATCTATAGCCAATCATTGCTACCGCAGTGGGACCGTTGAAGCAGAAATTGCAAAAAAATAAAAAAAAAAATAAAAATAGAAGAAGCAAAAGAGAAAGCACGCACACACCCAAATATATTCACTTAAAAAAAAATAAATTGCTGTAAAAATTCACAAATAAATGGGGTCATCAGCGAGGCCATCGTGTAAACAGAAATGACAATAGCCAAATTGCGGATGGCGAACGGCTTATGACGGCAGCGAGGGGCACAATGTGTAATGGGCACATTTTGTGAAAGCAATGAAAATTGAAATAGGCAATTAAGCTAACTGGCAGGCAGCAGTAGTAAGCAGAAATAACACACACGCACACACAAACCAACATATATATGTGATATAGACGTGCTTAAGTGCTTTTCGGAAATGGATTTCTAATTTATTTAAAATTTTCAAAAGCAAGCAAGCAATTTCCAATGACATTCCATTGTGCACAAATGAGTTTAAAATGTCTAAGTGATTTCGATTTCGATACAGATTTATTATTTTTTTTCAATTGATAGATGATAATTTTAAACCCACTTGTATCAAGTCCAAGGGTAAATTAACTTTGATGAGAGTGTATTATATATGTCAGATATCAAAATAATAGATAAATGATAGAAAGCAAAGTTTGCCTCCATTTCCGACTGATCATCCAGCTCAACGTGCATAGCAGTGAAAAATTGCATTCAGTAGTAGGTTGCACGTTGCCAGAAGTATATTTATGCCTCATTTATCAGGAATAACCTGCTTGGTCCTTTCTTGTGGGACAAGTTCGTTTGCCCTGGAGATCCCTATATGACTTTGTTTATCCTGCGAGTCTAGCCATATTGT